TGTTAACTTTTTTTTACAAAAAACATTGAAGTTAATTTAACAATATGCGTTGGTGAAACCAGTATTTTCATTCAGTCAGATAATTGAACAACACTAATTTATTGTATTTGATTGTAGTTTTTTTAAATTTTCAAAGTGTTTGAGTAGTTCTTGCTCTTTTGCATAATGGACCCACTGTTCTAAGACTTGAGAAAAAAAGAGTAAGATTTAATGGTGCAAATAACAAATTGACTTTCATGGATTATTACAGTCGGATAAGTCTATCGTACCCAATAAAAAAAAAAGGGTGGGTACCACGACGAGAGAGCGACATATATTTGTTTGAATGAATTGTAGCCATTGATTACAAAAATAATAATGTAATATAAAATATTTTTTTTTAAACATGTCAAAATTTAATTAATGAAAAGTGAATGTATATTTATCTATATTACTATAAAATATCAACAAAATGAAATTTTTTTGATTGACTACTATAATATTAGTAAAATAACAAATTACCTTGATCAATTTTTTTTAAATCTTCTCAAATTAATTACATAATATGTGCATAACCTTTCATCTTCTTAAAAGAATTATGTATAAAATTTTTTAATAATTCAAAACAAAATTTCTCTACAATTGGTACACAAAGAGTTTTAACGAAATATTTGGAAGTTGAATCACAAAATATTATAGTGCGATGAATGTAAGAATTATCTAGAAGTCAAATAATGTAATAACTTTTGATATTCCATAGTTTGGTTTCGTACTGGTAATTGACCAAAGAAGGCTACCAATTGCTAGAGTAATGCTTATTTTTTATGATAAAGGCTAAGACAGATTGACTGTATAGGGATTTTGTATAGAATTTTTCTTTTTAAGAAAAATTTTGTTGGTTTTACATGTTTTGAAGGAGGTTTGTATAGGGTTTTCCCTTTTGCTTTTTGTAATTTTTTTGATGATTGGAAATAAAATTTTCTTCTTCTTTTTTTTTTTTTTAATAAAAAAAGGTTAATTTATATTATGGTTCATGTAAATTTGGGTTGTGAAGTACTTTCTCGTATATTCAGGCATTTATTTCTAATTTTTCTAACATCTTTGGTGGATGAAATAAATTTGTGAGCGACTTATAAACCTGTATTATAAAATCAACCTGTAATAGCATGTATTTGGTGAATACATAATCATTCTTAAATTTTTCATAATATTAAAGTGATAACCAATAATTCTCAAGCCAAAAAAGAGATAGGATTCAAGGGTAAAATAGTCAATTAATGTCAAAATTATTAAATATTTTATAAAAAATTATAGTTTGTTCATATCCTAACCACAACATAAATCACTATCCAAAGTAGAGATTAGATAACACAAATTATTTTTATCCCTCTACAAATCTGGCCTATTGGAATTTTATTGAACTGGTTTGAAATTTAAATCCAACTCAGTCCATCCATAAATTGCCAAACACCCTGAAAGTTTATACATTTCTTTGTACAAAACATCCCCATCTCCTATTTCTAAACACATGGGGGATGTTTGGGTAGTGGGATAAAGGGGGTTATCCACTAGTTGGATAGGATAAAATAGGAGTGGGATCCATTTAACCCTTGTTTGGCAAGCTATTTTTTAGATTGGTTACAAATCCCGGGTCACCGCTTGACCCGGTGCTACAGTAGAATGTTAACCCCTATACACCGTTCTCAGATAACCCAGCCCCCCCCCAGGTTACAAACCGAGGCAATGGGTTACACCCCCTCCAAGACGTATTTGCCCCTCTCTTTTTCTCCACCCACCAGCGATGAATCCCTCTTCTCTCTTTCTACTGTCAGCTAAGCTCGTCCAAGGGTGAACACAGAGGCGAAGAAGATCGTGCCGTTGGTGAGAGCTTCACAGAGTCGACGAAGAAGACGACATCGCTAGACAGAACGAAGAACACAGCTTCTTCTTGAGGTAAGTTTCTCACTGCTATGTCTCTATTTCTATTATTATGTCTCTCTCTCTCGATCTCTCTGGACAGAACGAAGAACACACACTGAAGAGCAGATCTACTTTCGTTGGTATTCTTATCTTCTGCTCAATTTTTTGAGATGTGTTTCTTTTCATTATTCACAATATGTTTGATGAATTGCCTCAATGAGATATGCTAATGATTGGGCCTTGAAATCTGATGTTGATTGATACTAACTGCACCGAAAGTTCTTGCCTTTGATCTTGATTCTGGGCTGAGATGTGCTGCGAGATTTGGCTCATTTCTCTCTTAAAACTGTATGCTTTGAAGTCATAATGTTGTGTTATTATGTAAATTTTGAACTAAATTCAATTGTTTAAATTCAATTATAATGTGAAATAATAGAAGTCTCGAACATGCTAATATTATAAGTGTTGTCTTCTCAATTCAAATGCTTTGGAAAACCTAGAGTTCGGTGTTCTAAGTTCAATCCAAGTGCTTTGAGTGCCTGGTCAAGGAAAGCATAGTTTGTCTGACCAGCCATCCTCTTTCAAAATGTGCCCTTTCATTGTTTGTTTATGATTACTTTCAGTTTCATTTTTGTAATAGTTGCAGCCCATGAGGTAGAATTATGCACAATTTGAATGTAATGGGTTTCCCTTTTGGCATCATATATCCCTATTCATGGGTTCTGTTAGCATTTTTCCTCATCATATGAGCTTTGTCATGTATAATTCTTTATCTGCTTACATTGAATTAAGAAAACCTGAATTGACTCCCCACTGATGAATCATGTATCATGATATGATTCCTCCATTATCTAACCGAGTTTGCCTGGAATTTAGCTTGATCATGCCATTAACTTATTTGTAGTAAATTGAAATTTAGCTTGATCATGCCTTTTGATTGTACTGCTGTGAGAGTTTTATGCTGTTGGATTGGAAAGTTTGAATGCAGTCGGTGTCTTGTTTTGCAGACATTGGCCTTTGTTTGTGATCTGAGGGCCTGAAGCTGTGAAGCTGTGATGATTGCTGCATGAGAGCTGAAAAGGTGCTGTTTAGCTGGCAGATTCATCCCCAAGCAGTTTCAGAAATGCAACATTTGTACAGAAAATCTGTTTTGATTGTGCTGTTTCTGTTTTCTGTTATAAAACAGAAATTATGGTCATGTTTGGTTACTTTCTTGTTCTCAAAATTTCAAAAACACCAAAAACCTGTTTGTTTAGCATTTTTGTTCTCAAAATTTTGAGAAAAAAATGAGATTTGAGTCAAAGAAACAAAAAACAAGTTTAGCTTGTTTTTAGAATTTTCTTTGAAAATTTTGAAAATAAGGAGAACAATTTTAAATTTTAATGAGGTCTGCCATTCGAGTCTCTTTAATAGCCAATTTCTTCATTCTTTTTTTTTTTTTTTACTTCTTCTCTTCTCTCATAATATATAATATATAATATAATATATTATTATAACATATATTATATAATATTTATATATTTTTTGAGCTAATCTTGTTATAATATATATTATATTACATTATATATTATAATATATATTATATTTTAAAGTTTAGTTTATTGAATTTTTTTATAAAATTATCAATCTAAAAATAATTTTTTTATATTTTTTTATTAATGTTTGAATTACTGTTCAAACATATATTTAGGCTGTCCAAACAAGTTTTGATATTTTTTGTTCTGTAAAATCGTTTTTGAAATCATCTAACTAAACAAGTTTTTTATCTCAAAATATATCAAAATTATTTTTTTAAAACTCTTCTCAAAAATTATTTTTGGATACTATTTTTTAAAACGTAAATTAAATAGGCCTTAGGTTTTGTTTGTAACAGTTTTTTTGTTTTCTGTTTTTCTATTGACACAGTTACTATTTTTCGTTAAAACAGTATCTATTTTGATTCTTGTAATTTTGAGATTTATTCAATAAAATTTCTCTCTTTAAAAAAAAAAGGTTTTGAAATGAAAAAAAAAATTATTAACTTTCCTAAATTTTATTTTTTATTTTATTTTTATGTATATGTGAAAAATGTATAATTTTATTATGATAATTCATCAATTCAAACGTAGGATAAGATTGGTTTGAATTGAAATAGATAGAGTTATGGGTAGAATGATAAATTATTCCAAATTATTTGTGTAACCTATGAATTACACCTTGTTTTCCAAACAAAGGTAAAGATCGAATATATTCCAAGATTAAGATTTTAAAATAGATGAATAGATTTTGATTAGATGAGTTAGAATATATAAAAAGATAACCAATCCTATCCGGTCCAACTGCCCAAAACACCCCCATGGTGGCCTCTGATTGCTATTTTGGATGTATAGGGCCTTCTTCAGAAAGGTTCTCATGCCAGTCATGTTTTTTGAGTAAGGCTGTGGACCATGTTTTTTGATGACTTGTAAACGTGCTGGATCTTCTTGTATTGCGTTTCACTTTCGTGCCCCAGATTTGTCCTTTAGTTTTTGTTTGGTGACATTAATCTTAAAAAAAATAAATTAAAAATAAAATAATAAAATTTTACGCATGCAATGTTTCTATTGAACGAAAAAAAAGCGGAAATACATATTTTACAAGTAAGGATCGTCTTCGTCCAACTTATTCATTAAATAGTATTGAATATTTACGTGTGGTATCAACTATCATATTGTTTAGTCACTATATTTTGTCTCATTTTCTAATTAATACAATATTATTATTTTTTATGCAAAGTCTAGCATTTCTCTTTCACTATAGATCTTTTTGCACTCTTTTATTCATCATCCAACTGATGAGTTGCCATCACATTATTGATTGCCCATGACCTGGGATAGGCATAAATTATTTAAATTCCTGGTAAAATAACCAAAATATGGATCAAATTTAAAAACCAAATGATATTGCACTGAAATAATTATAATTTTTATCACACTTTATATTTAATATTTTTTTATAATGTCAACTGTCATATCATTTATACTCTATAAATTGTCTCATATTTATATTTAATATTTTAAATTATTTTATCATATCAACTGGCGCATCATTTATACTCAATAATTGACCTCATATTTTAGTGGGTTTAACATTGCTCTTTAGATCTATATGGACTTTCCTTCCCGTGCACAGTCCAAATGCCCGATTAAATCACTTTCTTGATTCAGGACCATGCCTTTCCGCGACCTATAATCTTGGAGTGGTTGTCCAAAGGGTGATCAGTGACCCAAAAAAAAAAAAAAGAAAGAATGGAGAAGGAAAAGGGAGGCTATGGAGCTCATGTTCTGGCCCTTCCTTATCCAAGCCAAGGACACATAAACCCTATGCTCCAATTCTGCAAACGACTTGTCTCGAAAAGGAATATCAAAGCCACTCTAGCCATCACCAACTTCATCTCCAATTCTATGCACCCACAATCAAGCTCAGTCCAGCTTGACGCAATTTCCGATGGGTATGACGAAGGTGGATTCATGCAAACCGGCTCTGTACAAACCTACCTCTCAACATTAGAAGTTGCAGGCTCAAAAACTTTAGCAGAACTCATCAAGAAGCACCAAAGCTCCGAGCACCCCATTACCTGTGTTTTATATGACGCCGTTTTGCCATGGGCTTTGGATGTGACCAAACAGTTTGGGTTAATTGGAGCCTCTTTTTTCACTCAACCTTGTGCAGTGAATTACATATACTACTATGCTCATCATGGACTATTGAAACTGCCGGTTTCCGAGCTGCCGATATCGATTCCCGGGCTACCGTTGCTTGAGCTTCAGGACATGCCGTCGTTCATTTATGTTCACGGGTCGTATCCGGCTTATTTTGAGCTGGTTCTGAATCAGTTCTTGAATGTTGATCAAGCAGATTATGTTGTTGTCAACACTTTCTACAAGTTAGAGGATGAGGTTAGTTATTTGTTAACCTTTTTTCACAAAAAAAACATAGAAGTTAATTTAACAACATGCGTTGGTGAAACCAGAATTTTCATTCAGTCAGATAATTTAACAACACTAATTTATAGGATTTGGTTTTAGTTTTATTAAATTTTCAAAGTGTTTGAGTAGTTCTTGCTCTTTTGCATAATTGACCCACTGTTCTAAGACTTAGCTACTCCCTGGGTGTCCTGATTGCAAAGGTAAAAAACACGTAAGATTTAAAGCTGCAAATAACAAATTGACTTTCATGGATTATTACAGTCGGACAAGACTATCGTACCCAACAAAAAAAAGATGTGGGTACAATGATGAGAGAGCGACATATATTTGTTTGGATGAATTGTAGCCATTGATTACAAAGATAATAAGGTAATATAATTTTTTTTTAAACATGTTAAAATTTAATTAATGAAAAGTGAATGTATATTTATCTATACTATTATAAAATATAAAAAAAAATAAAATTTTTTTGATTGACTATAATAATATTAGTCAAATTACAAATTATCTTGATCAATTTTTTTTAAATCTTCTCAAATTAATTACATAATATTTGCATAACCTTTCATCTACTTAAAATAATTATGTATATAATTTTTTTAATAATTCAAAATAAATTTCTCTACAACTGGTACACGAAAAAAGTTATAACAATATATTTGGAAGTTGAATCACAAAATATTATAGTACGATGAAAGTAAGAGTTATCTAGAAGCCAAATAATGTAATAACTTTTGATATTCCATAGTTTGGTTTTGTATTGATAATTTATTTATATTCATAAAAGAAGTGATCTATTCGATAATTATATTTTAATTTAATCGTCTAAATAGGTATTCTAATTTAATTATAATTCGAAATAATTCACGTATAATGCATATGTGCAATAATTAGGAATAGAGGAATGTTAGATGGACTTAAAAATTAGACTTGATAATTTTAACCATTGAATAGGTAGTGGGTCTCAATAAATGCTGGGACCTACAGTGAAATCAATTATTGAGATTATCAAGTCTAATTTTTAAGTCTATTTTTTGAGTCCACGTAGTATTGCTCGAATAGATACCAACAAGTTACTTTTGTGGACTCATTACATTGAAGCTAGTATAATCCAAATATCCTAAATAAGAAAAAATTTTAAAAAAATTAAAGCACCTCTTAATTAGCATTTGAACTCTTGATCTGATATTCATTTCATGGTATATAGGTGGTGGACACGATGTCAAAAATCAGTCCATTGATAACAATAGGACCAGCAATCCCATCTTTCTACTTGGACAACCGCGTGGAAAACGACAAGGACTATGGGCTCAACCTCTTCCACCTAGACCCCTCAGTTTGCACCAATTGGCTAAACACCAAGCCCAAAGGGTCAGTTGTTTTTACATCATTTGGAAGTATGGCTAATCTGGCAGAAGAGCAAACGGAGGAACTTGCATGGGGCTTGAAGGGAACCAACTGTTACTTCTTGTGGACAGTTAGGGCATCTGAGGAGGCCAAGCTCCCAAAAAAGTTCATCGAGGAAACTTCGGAGAAGGGCTTGATAGTGGGATGGAGTCCACAGCTGGAGGTCCTCTCAAGCGAGGCAGTGGGATGTTTTTTCTCGCATTGTGGGTGGAACTCGACAATTGAAGCGTTGAGCTTGGGAGTACCTATGGTGGTGATGCCACAGTGGACGGATCAAACGACGAATGCCAAGTTTGTACAAGATGTTTGGAAGGTGGGGATAAGAGTTAAGGTTGATAAGAGGGGCATGGTGGGAAGAGAAGAAATTCAGTCTTGCATAATGGAAGTTATGAAGGGAGAGAGAGGGAAAGAAATGAAGAAGAATGCGATAAAATGGAGGGATTTGGCTAAGGAAGCAGTTAATGAAGGTGGGACTTCTGACAGAAACATAGATGATTTTGTACAAAATTTGAAAAGCTCTTCAAGTTGATGTAGTGCTCATTTGATTATGACCACATAGTGGTCATAATTTTATAAACCATCTAGCAGTGCAGAATTAAATATTAATAAACATTATTGTGTTGCACGTATTATCGTTTTATTAATCATTTACCGGTAAAGTAGTTGTTAATATTGTTAAAAACTAATAGAACAATGCGCACAAAATTGGGTTTTTTTTAACTAATCAATTAGGGAAGAATTCAGTACTAATAAATATCAGTGTCTTATGTATCACTGTTGTATTGGTCATTTGCTTGTAAAGTAAGAGTTAATGTCAAGAAACACTAACAAAATGACTCATCAAAAGTTAATTTTTTTTAACTTATCAATCTTTATTTAATTAAAATCAATAACTTTTTGAAGAGGAATTATTTCAACTATTTTTGCTACTGATTATTAAATTTTTTTAATAAATCAGCAAGAGAATAAAATTGCAATAAAAAAAAAATTAGAATGGATCATTATCAGATAAAAATAAAGTGGCTGGACTTTGATAAGAATAAGATACAAAACTAAACTTAGTGGTTTATTTGGAAAAAAAAAAATTTTGGGCATTTTTTTAAGAGTTTCAAATACCTAACATTTTGTTCACCTTAAAATTTTGAATTATGGTACCATTCAACAAAAAACAGCATTCTTTGGGCATGATTGGATGGTTTTTGGGGTGAGGGATTGGATTAGTTTTATCAAACCCTTCAAAACTTAACCCTCATCTTTAGTACATGAAATTTATAGATGAGTCATATCTATATCCGTATTTAATAAGTAACGTATACATATGTGAGACCTATGGATTTATCACTATTATTATTATATATTTGTCCTATAAATCACTATTTTTCCCATTGACTAATTCAATCTATACTTATGTTTGTTTAAGTCCCTTTCTCATCTTTTTCTACGTCTCATACTTTAACAAGTTTTGTGAAAAGTCTTGGAATGCACATGTGAAAGACAAATGGCAATCTCACACTGAATGGGATAAGAAAAAAAATAGAGTTTGTATATTAAGATAGGAACAACATATTCTGAGTTAGGCATTGAGCATTTATGTGAAGTTTGAATCAACTTGTATATTGATTTATCAAAACCCCAATTCTAGGACCACCACAAGTAGAGTAACCTAGTACATTTATCTATCACAAAAACTTCAAGTCATGAAAATAAAAAAATTGCTTCACGTCATGATCATATTAGTGGAAACATGATACAACAAATTGACAATAACAATTTGATGTCGATCATATAGCAGTAACGATTTAGTTTGAGAATAGGATTCTAACCCGGTATTTGTGCGTAAATCAACAGTTTAGTTTGAGAATAAGATTCTAACCCAGTATTTGTGCGTAAATCAACAGTTTAATTTCACTATCGCCTTTCGCTCATTATCTACCGCTTCAAAGTAATATGGAGTATGGTAGTGGGGTTCGACTCTTTTCGTGATTTATGTCACTGACCCATATTTTGCTTTGGTGTTAGCTAATGTCCACATAGGAATTTGAGTTGATTTCCGCGTGATTGATGGGTTTCTTTTCTGAGGAAACCAACTATGTGGTCCAGATTTTAGCCTTTGGTTCCAGAATCTTCGAGAATTGCATAATGAAAGACATGTGGACTGGTATAAGACTCTGAAGTTAGTCGCAGGCTCTTACTTTTGGCCTACCATGAGGAGGGAAGTATATAAGTTTGTGGAGAGCTGTCACGTGTGCCAACAAATATCCATAGGAACTGCCACAAATGCGGTGTTGTACATGCCCCTTCCTGTGCCACAGCGGCCGTGGGCAGATGTTAGGATAGACTTTATTCTGGGCTTACTTTGAACTCAACCGGGTAGTGATTCTGTTTATGTGGTGGTGGATCGGTTTTCAAAAATGACACATTTCGTACTTACAAAAAGACCACTAATGCATCGCGGGTTGCTTATCTATACTTCAATGATGTTTATTGTCTACATGGTCTACCGCAATCTATTGTCTCCAATCACGATGCTCATTTCGTGGGTCACTTTTGGCGCAGTTTGTAAAGACTAGCCAGCATGAAGCTAGAGTTTAGTAGTTCTTATTATCCACAGACTGATGGCCAAACGGAATTAGTCAACTGTTTAGTGGGTAACATATTGCGCAGTTTGATGGACAATTATGTGAAGAATTGAGAAGAAAAAAGACAAACTATCAATTTTATTAATCAATCAAAACTATTTTGGCCTAAGCCTTACAAGAGCTTATATAATAGTAGAAACCCTAAACTCAATTAAGAAACTAGAATCCTAATTAAATTAGGAAATCGAATAAAATAAAATCCCAATTGAATTGAAGAATAAAATAAAATAATTTCCTAATTAATTTAAAAAATAAAATAAAATCAACTAAATTTTCCAAATTGACCGGCATTGATCAAGTTCATCCCGTTTTGACAGGCCCAAACCACCTCGACATGGATCCTATCGATTCAAGTATTGTGCTACCGTACAATCAATTCTCCAACAAACATAAAAAACAGAAATTAATGAGCATCAAATAAATACATAAATCAAAATTAGCAGCCAGCTTAACCCAACATGAGCATCAAATAAATACAAAAAACTGGAAAAAGAAAACTAAAACACAAAGTCTTAACACAGGCAAAAAAATGAAGTTGATTCCAAGTTTTGAACATATTATGACTGTTATCACTTCCCATCCACCACCGCCACACCCCTGATGATTTCCTAGCAAAAGAATTGGTGAAACATCCTTCCCCCAACCATAACGATGAGAACACCCAACCCTGCTGCCTCTTATTGAAATCGAGAAATCAAGGAAACCCACTAGTCCCCTTTCAAACTGCTGCTATAACCCACCCCAAAAAAACCAAGAAAACCGAGAAATCAAGAGATCATTGACCCACCAGCCTCACCCCACAACCACCACACAACCGCCTCCAACCAAAACTGGACACACAAGAAATCAAGAACCGAATAGCCAGTAGAGTTGAGAGATGAGAGCAGGTCTATGAAATCATCCAGAGCCACTCTTTTTCTCCCAAGCCAGAGAAGAGGTGACCTCCCATCTATCCCACAGTTTCGGTGTCCATTCCAGGCATTGGGGGCAGGGATCTAACTTGGGTAGATAGGAGGATTAATTAGGGATACAACTATATTTTTAATCTACATATCCGGGTTGGGCTGATATCAAACCCACCCCTCCCCTGGGTTTGGTGAAGCCCTTACTCTTGGGTTTCAAGGGGACTGTTTGTTATGGGCCGGGATTTAAATCCGGGCCTTAAGCCTGCATCCAAATTTGAGTTTAGCCTCTCCATTGAACTATTTTTTCTTAAACCCCCATTGTATACCCACTCAAACCCTCCATCCAAGCATGCCCTTCGGGGCATGCGTGGATGATTTTTGGGGTGAGGGATTGAATTGGTTTGATCAAATCCTTCAAAATTCAACCCCCAGTTTTGGTACATGAGATTCATAGATGAATCATATACATACCCGTGGTTAGTAGGCAACATATACATATAAGAGATCCACAGATTTTTCACAATTATCACCATAAATTTGTCCCGACTATTTTAACATCTCAAAATTTTAACATAATTATGTCTGTTTAATTCCCTTTCTCATCTATTTCAACATCTCAATTTTAACAAGTTTTTGAAAAGTCTTGGAACCCACATATGAAAGACAGAAGGCAATCTCACACTAAATGGGATAAAAAAAAAATAATAAACAGAGTTTTTATATAAAGATAGGAACTGTAATTTTGAGTTTGGCTTTGAGCATTTGTGTGAAGTTTGAATCAAACTTGCATATGATTTATAACCAAAACACCAATCCTAGGACCACACAAGTAGGGTAACCTGGTACATTTATATACCACAAAAAATTCAGGTCATGAAAATCAAAAAATTGGGTGGAAACAGGATATACGCAATAGACAATAACAATCAATTCTCCAACAAATATAAAATACAAAAATTGGTGAGCATCAAATAAATACATAAATCAAAATTAGCTACCATCTTAACCCAACATGAGCATCAAATAAATACAAAATCTGGAAAAAGAAAACTAAAACACAGAGTCTTATCAAAGGAAAAAAATGAAGTTGATTCCAAGCTTTGAACATCTCATGACCGTTATCACTTACCATCCACCACCGCCACACCACTGATGATTTTCTAGCAAAAGAATTGGTGAAACATCCCTCCCCCAACCATAATGATGAGAACACCCAACCCCGCTGCCTCAAAGAGAAATCGAGAAATCGAGAAATCGAGGAAACCCACTAGCCCCCTTCCAAACCGCTGTTATCACCCACCCAAAAAAATAAAGAAAACCAAGAAATCAAGATATCATTGACCCACCCTACAATCACCACACAGCCGCCTCCAACAAAAATCGAACAACAAAAAATCAAGAACCGAATAGCCTGTTGAGTTGAGAGATGACAACAGATCTGCCAAGTCAGCCATAACCACTCCTTTTTATCCAAGCCAGAGAAGAGGTGACCTCCCATCTATTCCAAAGATTCGGCATCCATTCTAGGCGTTGGGGTTGGGATCTGAGAGGATTAATTAGGGATACAAAAGTCTTTTTACCTACATATCCGAGTTTGGATGATATCAAACCCACCTCTCTCTTGGGTTTGGTGAAAATTCATTGATTTTAAGGGGACTGTTTGTTATGGGCCGTGTCTTTCTCCATTACATATATATGGAGAAATTTATGATCCTGATCATCATCTTTAGGCTAGAGTTAAGTATCAAATTTAAGGTATTTTTAAATAAATTTATCCAATTATAATATTTTTAAATTTATTTTTTAAATTACGATACTTTTTTTAAAACGAATTTTATGACTCCATTTTTATAAAAAAATGAATTTATTAATCCCATTTTTAATAAAAAGAAAGATAAAAAAAAAAGTGTATTTGATAACCCCTTAATTTTATTAGAAAGCATAACCGCCGTTCACGTTTTTAAATTCAATCCTAGACTTTCACTATTTAGGATCTATTGACTGTCTTGTACGGAATAAGCAGACAAGGCCATTCCCCCATGCTATTCAACTTGTTGTATGGCACGTGGGACCGTTGGCTTGCTGGTGTGGAACCGTACGTTCCGTTTAGTAAAAAAGACGAAGAGTAAGAAAGATCAAAAGTATCAAGTGATGATGCATAAATTGATTTTTTACATTATTTGTCGAGTAATTGGTAATAAATACAGTAATTAAAGTAGAGAGAGAATACGAGAGTTATAGTGGTTCGGTCAATGTAACCTATGTCCACTTCTGAATGGTTAAGGTCGCTGGGTACTTTATTAATTCAAGAGTGTTTGGAGAGCAAAGTGTACAAACTTTGAGAGGGAGAGGAGATGAGAGTTGTACTTGGGTGAGAGTGTGTTGCCCCCAAGTGTTGGTGGGGTTTATAATTTATAGTCGTTCTCTAACAGATTAGAGCGATTTAATAACAACTAAGTAACTATTCTAGTGGAGATCACGACTTCTTCTCAATGAACGAGGTGGTTGAGGTGTTCTCCACGAGACTCGGTCAGAGATGAAGTGAGGATTGACTATTTCCAAGGTGGTGAGGGTGAGGCTACCAAACGCTTTCTTGATGACGTAGCCAAGCTGACTTGGCTCCCTAATGAGCTTGATTGGATTTGGACCACATTAGGCTTGGTGGGTTTTTATAAGACTAGGCTCTTAGTTAAGATTGGACTTCTCACATGGATCGGGTCATTTGGACTTGGCCCATCATTTGCCCCCCAATGTCCCATGTCTAAGGAAAACTTGGAGAAGGGGGCATTAATTTGAATCTTGAGCTCTGGGTTCCCCTTCATGATATATTTCGCCTCACTGAACACCTCAAGTCTTTTCCACTTTTACTTGGATTTTTAAGAGAGCTCTTGATTTTCAATTTGGATTTTTTCCTCTTTGAAAACCCTAGGCTATAAATAAAATCTTCTTTCTTTTTTTCCACCCATTTCCTTCATCTTGAGATTGAAAATCCATTCTTGAAAACTTTGAGAACCCACGTTTTACCCCTTACATAGAAACTTGAGAGGGTGAAGGAGGGTGCTCTCCTTGAATCTTTCCAATAATATATATATATATATTAAGAAGGAGAAGTTTTACCCCTTAAGAATGAGATTTCTTTTTTTTGGGTGGAGTATCCAAGTGGGCAATGCCGATTGAGGAGGAAAATATGCAAAACTCCATTGGAATTGTGGAGATCGAATGAGAAATTGGAGATGGGGAGCCTCGGGCACTGCTCAATGAAGAAGGAGAAGTTGAGAGTCAAGGAGGCGGGCAGGGCGGTGGCTTGCTGGGCGCGCAGGCCAGAAGGGGAGCTGCTAAGGCCAACGGGCGTGCGGGTGGCAAGCAGCCTGCTCTGGGCGCCTACCCAGGCAGTCTAGGCGAGTAGACCAGCGTGAGGAATATTGCGCAGACGCTATTTTGTCCAGTCCAGGTGAGCTGGGCACTGCTGAGGCTCGTAAAGAGGGGGTACTGAGCACCCAATTTGGCACTAATCTGGGTGGCTCAAACGAGCAGGAGGGCGAGGAGATGCAGGCTGTTCTTGCTGTCCAAAAGACTTTGGGCAAGTGGAGAAGCTCTAGGGAATGCATCGATGGGCGCCTAGGCGCGGTACGCACTGATAGGGCGAGTAGAAGGGGGCACCTAGGAGTTGTTATGCTCGCGAATCAGTTGGGCCAGCACCCCGTTGCGCAGGGCCGCTTGGGTGAGCAACCTAATCCGTTGGGCATCTTGGGCGAGCATGGATATGCCTTAGACGCTGATCCAAGTGAGCAAGGAGGGTTGGGCGCCTCTCCAGGAGCTGGACTGCCCTATTTGGGCTAATAGAGGGGGCCAGATGCCTCTCCAAGCACTGGGCTGCCCCATTTGGATGAGTAGAGGGGACCAGGAGCCTCTATAGATGTTGGGTTGAGTAGTGCAAGCTACAAGAAAATTTTTGGTGCCACTTTTGGTGATGGTTCGAGGAGTTCAAGTGGCCAAGGAGCTTTGGGTGCCCTTTAGGGAGTTTAATTGTTGCCTATGCAGGTGGGGCGGCCCAGGAATTTCTTGGCGAGACTGGTTCTAGAGTCCGAGGACAGAGTACGCCAGACACTTTTAGCGGTGATGGTCCAGCTCCTCTGAGTGCACCTTCTCAAAATCAAATTCTGCCAGGCCTCTCTGTTAGTGGCTTAGTCGACTCTTCACGCCCTCGTACCAAAAAACACCAAGGCAAAACAGTTCTTAATGATGATGGGTCTAAAGTAAACACCCTTTCTAGTTTGCTCAATACTGATGACGATATTCTGAGGAATATTTCTGCTTATCATATTCCTCCAACTGTGTTGTACCGTCGGGCTGAGATGGGTGAGCCTATTAACGATGACTCCTCTAGAGATATTGTCATTTATGAGGATAAGCCTGAGGCGGGGCTCAGGTTCCCAATGCCTTCTTCCGTTTCTGGCATCTTGAATTACTTTCACTAACACCTGGGAGGGTGGCACCTAATGGTTGGAGGGTTTTGCTACCCTTTCTTGAATTGTGGAGGCAGGTGCACCATGAAGATGCCTCTCCTGTCGAATTTCACGCAACTTATTACCCGAGTGAGACTCCTACTCCTAATCAAGGCTGGTACTATTGAGGAGACAAGTTGATTACTGGACTGCCCTCCAATTGCCATAGTTGGAAGTCTCATTTCATATTCATCGGTGGAGAGTGGGCTTCAGAGATTGATAGGGGATTGGTACCATCACGGTGGGTTGTTCCAAAGAAAATTGGTATGCCCCATATACTTACCCTTCTCTTACCACATTCTTTGTAGGTTGTGTACTCACTAAGCTCCTTGCAGGTTCTCCCATGCTTACCAAAGATCAAGAGTGGAAATTGTAGGTTGTGCGAGCTTATCCTATAAGGGACTTTGGAGCTCTCATGCTCAAGGATGGAGGAGTCAGTGCTTTCCCTTCCCCTTTCGTTCGCGTTGAGAATGCTGCTCTATCTCTGAAGTCCGGTGGTTCCTCTTCGAAGAGGAAGAGTGAGTTAATTCTTTTGTATCCTCCTATTTTACTCGATGTCTCCTTTTTTTTTTTAGAGACACTTTATTTTCTTTGTAGTAATAGATAGAAAAGTGATTGGGTCTCGCCTCTTTGGTAAGAACTCTCCTCCTTCCAAGGTGGCGAGGATGGGCTATGCCCCCTAGGTGACTTCTCCAATGGCATCGCCCGAGGTGAGCTCTCCTCAAGCAACCCCTCCAGTGGAGCCTTAGGCGTGTTCCCATCAAGTGACCCCTCCGGTGGTGCCTCCTCAGCCAGCAACCCTTTCAGATATGGCTGCTACCCTGGAGTCTTCCTTGTTGGCCACACCTTCTGCCCCTCGTTCATCTCCTCCTTGTGAGGGAACTTCTACAGGGCCCCCGATTTGGATTGGTCCCATGCTGGGCAAACCGTTGGTCATTAGGGAAAGGCTTGGGAGGTTTGTGTTTTATCCCGAAGTTACTCAGATTAGTACTCTGGGCACCAAGGGGATTATTAACACATTTTTGGAAGGTCTGGCTCAAGTAAAGTTTGTTATCTCCCTTTCTCTAGTCCTTTCTTATGTGCTTTGTCATTTTCTCTATTTTTTTTATCTTTTCCAGGGTACGACTGCATCTGTCTGCTTGCTTTCAAGGACCAACTATCACAGTCCGTTGAAGTAGAATAATGAAGTTATGCAAAAGGAGCTCCTTGCTGCTCAAGGGGGGGGGGATCATTGCTCTTGAAGCTGCTGGCAGGGCTTCCCAGGTTGACCTCTTGGTGACCCGTGAGAGGGTGACCAGGCTTGAGACTAAGATTTCAGTGATTTATGAGAGGGCGACCAAGTTAGAGGCTGAGTTTGAGGAGGCCCGTGTGAGGGAAACTAAGCTCGATTCCGAGCTCTTGGCAACCCATGAGAGGGACGTGCTCAAGGAGGCTGAGCTTATGAAGGCCCGTGAGAGGGCTTCACTTAGTGAGCCTGAGCTTGCAAAGACCCGTGAGTGGGTGACGCTCATAGAGGCTGATGTGGAGGCAAAGGTGAAGGTGGCTCATGAGAGAGCTTAACAGGCTGAGGAGAGGGCTGTCATAGCTGAAAGGGACTTAGCGAACGGCCTTGCAGATGCTTTCATTGATGGCTATGACGAGTTGCGAGGGAAGATTTCTGTTGTTTTCCCTAATATTGACCTCTTAGGTTTTGTGCCAACCGAGGCGCCTAATGATGGTGATGGAGGCTCTGATGATGCTGAGAATGAGGATGAGGATGAGGAGGAGGAGGACGATCATGAGAGTGATTAGAGTGCTTTGGAATTTTGATTGATTTTTTTTTCTTTTTTTAGCCTAACTTTTGTACTGAAACTCCTTTGAAATTGAATGAAAATGCAAGGATCTTTTTTGGAGTAAAACGTAGAAAATTTTATTTATCAACTTCTTAATGTCAAGCAATATTGGATAATAATTCCAAAAAAGTACATTGGAAATTGGGTAATAATCCCAAAAAAAGTAGAAAATAAAATCAAGTCCCCTACTTTGCTACTTTGACTCTCTCAAGGTGTCATTAGCAGTACCTCTTCAAATGCTCCGCGTTCCATGGATGGGGTAAGACCTCCCCTTAGAATTCTAGATCTTGTAGGTGTCTGGCCTCACCACTTTTATTATGAGGTAGGGTCCTTCCCAATTTGGTCCCAGCTTTCCTTTGCGTGAATCCTTTATGGCGAGGACCACTTTCTTGAGGACCAAGTCTCCTGGTTGGAAGGAACGAGGCTTCACCTTCAAGTTATAGTACCTCGCCATGTATCATTTGTACTCTACGTTGCGGACCACAACCATCTCCCTTGCCTCCTCCACCAAGTCGAGGTTAATGCAGAGTCTTTCCTTGTTGGTAATAAGGTCGTGATGTTGGACCCTAAGAGAGTGTACCCTTATCTCCATAGGGATGACCGCCTCAGTTCCAAAGGTGAGGGAGAAAGGGGTTTCCCCAGTAGGAGTTTTTAGCGTGGTTCGATAGGCCCATAATACACCTAGGAGTTCGTCGACCCAAAGACCCTTCGTTCTTTCGAACCTTGTCTTTAGGTTGCGCAGCACCGTCCTCACCATAACTTATGCTTGTCCATTTGCCTGCAGGTGTCTTTGTCGCTTACAATGGCATGGGGTATCCCAAAACGGCAGATTAGGTTCTTCCAGATATAATCTTTGACCTTTGCATCTGTTATCTTCGCTAAGGGTTCAACCTTTGCCCACTTGGTAAAGTAGTCGACCGCTACCACCATAAACTTGCACTGTCTTCTACTGAGAGGTAGGGGCCTAGGATGTCGATGCCCCATTTGGAGAAAGGTCATGGACTCAAAATGGTTGTCAGCTCCTCCAGTGGTTATACTGGCGAAGAGTTGACACTTGTCGTATTTTTTGGCGAATTCTTGGGCGTCCTTCACCATGTTAGGTCAGAAGTAACCTTGTCTAAGCACTTTGTGGGCGAGGGAGCGTCCTCCAGAGTGATTACCACAAATCCCTTCGTGGATCTCCCGTATGGCATAATCTCAGTAATGGCAAGGAGTATCTCAGTAATGGCATAATAAACTTCTTTATGGCAAGGAGTAGCCTCTCTAGGTGAGCAGTATCTCAGTAATGGCAAGGAGTAGCCTCTCTTGTATAGGGTATCTTACAGGATAATAAACTTGGAGGCTGTCATCCTGAACTTCTTGGCCTCCATGGGGTTATCTGGCAACGCGCCCTCCTAGAGGTATGCCCTTATTAGGGTCATCCAGTTTGATTCCGCAGAAGTGCAGCTGACATTTACAGTGTCCATGTCTAGCCTGCTTGGTTCGAACTGGTGACCAATGAATGCTGGCCCTCCGGATGGGGCTACTAAAGATGAGGTGAGTCTGGCGAATGCGTCTGTGGCCATGTCGTCTTCTCTCAGGATGTGAAAGATCTAAAAGTATTGAAACTTCATGATCAAGCTTTTTCCCATACCGAGGTACTCCTGCATCTTGGCACCTTTTGCCTCAAACTCGCCCTTCACTTGGTTGACTATCAACTGAGAGTCACTATATGAAATAAGATGTTGGGCTTCCATTTCTATTGCCAACCTTAGGCCAGAGAGAAGAGCCTCATATTCTGCCTCATTGTTGGAGGCAATAAAGTGAAGCTTCACTCCATATTTGATGGGGGTACCATCGGGACTAATCAGGATGAGGCTTGCTCCACCTCCTTTAGTGGTCGAGGAGCTGTCGACATAGAACTTCCAGAGTGGTAGAGAGGAATGCTCAGAGGTCCCCACAAGAGCCAGGGCGCTAGGCTGGGGTACCTAGCACCAATTGGTGTCTAGGTGCCGGAGGGAGGTGGCTGGGCGCTAGCCTGGGTGCTAGAGGTTGTTTGGGCATCTGAGGATGTTGCTTGGGCGCCAGTTGGGTGCCAAAGGGGTCTGGGCGCCTGAGGATGTTGCCTGGGTGCCAGAGGGGGTCTGGGTTCCTGGGGATGTCTGGGTGCTACGCCTGAGTGTTCTGCCTGGAAGTCTCGATGTCCTCGTCGGGCTCCTGGACGTCCTCTTCGGGTATCTGGGTGTCCTCGTTGGGCGAGGTGGAAGACTCGTTGCTCTCATCTTCTGCTGGTGTAATCTCGGCAATAAAATTTGCCAATGCTTGTGCTTTGATGGCTGCCCTTGGTTGATATTAGATATCAAACTCGCCAAGTTCCACTGTCCACTTAAGGAGTCTTCCGGATA